ACATAAATCTTGTTTGCTTTGAATCAATCATAATGTGGAAATTCAGGTGAGGCTAGCAGGTAAAACATAGTAGATAGTATTTTGGGGATTACTCTCTTGGATTTGAACTTCACCTGGCCTTCTAATTCTATCTTAAGGCCATAAACTGCACCCCTGCCTTCCTCACAACCATCTTACAAATATGTGCCATTATTGGCAAATGAGGTCAAATGAGAAAGTAGTTCAATACAGTTTATAATTAGTGTGTATATAAGGAAAAAAGTTGAGGTTTATATGTCTTACTCCTGACTTAACATTATTTTTATATGTGAAGCTAATATATTTACTTAGTGAAGACCCAATGTAAAAGTAGTACTAAGCAACATTTAGAATCATTTTTATTAGTCTTCTACAAATAGTGCCTTTTTCATAGTAAATCAATTGCTTGTGAATAATGAGTAACTGTGTTGAAGAAAAAATAGTGTTTACCTGAAGAACAGATATGACTCTTAATGGAAGTATAGGTTTTCTTGCCCACTCACTCATTTCTTACTTCTGAAATGATTGTTGAGCCTGCCATAGACTGATAGATGTAGAAAACAAAGGTAATCAGCTTTTTGTCTCCTTGCCAAAAGTTTCAGTTGCTTTAGGCTTCTCTCCCTGTATCCTTTACCTGGAGAGAAAGGGATTGGAAAGGATCTTCAGAAGAGATGTAAGCCAGGTTTCTTGCTTTATAACCTGGATATTCCTGTTGTGCTGGTATGTTGTAATCAATCCACAAATGCTGAATGCAGGTGCAGTTGCCCTCTCTTATCCATGATTTTGCTTTCTCTGGTTGCATGTACCTTAGGTCAACAGGGGACCAAAATACTAAGTGGAAAATTACAGAAATAATTCATAAGTTTTAAATTACATGCTCTTCTAAGTAGTGTGATGAAATCTTGTGCCTTCCTACTCCATCCTACTCAGAATATGAATTATTCCTTTGTCCAGTGTATCCATTCTGATGGTGCTACCCTCCCATAATTAGATCAGTTGTCCTGATATTATAGTGCTTGTGTTCAAGTAATCTTTATATAGTGTTATAACACTCACAATGCTCCCATCATTCACCTAATCTGGACATTGTATCATCTCACATAATCACAAGAAAAAGTGGGATTTCATTGCAAGATATTTTGAAAGACAGGCCACATTCATGTAAATTTTATTACAGTATATTGTTGTAATGATTCTTTTTTATTAGTAGTTATTGTTAATCTCTTACTGCTCCTAATTTATAAATTAAACTGTATCTTAGCTATGTATGTAAGCAGGGTTCATTCAGAACTATTCTTGGCTTTGAGCATCCTCTGGGAATCTTGGAGCATATCTCCTGGATATAGTGGGGGGCTACTGTATTGGATCCCGGGCATTCAGATTCATTCGTGCAGTAGTTGTTCCCTATTTTAAGAATATATGGGTTACTTAGAGTCTTGATGTCACAAGTACAGATAGTCAAGGCTGTTTGAAGTTGTGTTTCCAAGAACTACATTCAGTGTAATTTAAATGTTTCAATGACCATTTACTATGTTTTGAAGTATCAAATGGCATAAAGTGAAACTATGAACTGTCTACTTTATGCTTTAGTGAATAAGAAGGAAATAATGTTTGGCTAGAAAGGAATTACAATGTACTTAAATGTGAATGTGCTAAATGAAGACCCATTCATTTGGATGTGTAAACTCTGCTGCCTCCAAAAGGTGAGTCTGTCTTACTACTATATATGTTCAGTATCTAGATAACCACCTGGCATGCAGAGCACCTGTCAATGAATATTTGCTAACATAAATGAATGACTTTGGGTCCACATATAGGATAGTATTGGGATGAAATGAGATAGAAATAAATAAACCAGGAGTATTTTACAAATATTTTTATTTATTTATAAATACTTTATTTACAAAGTATATAAAGGATTTATAAATAAATAAAAAGGAATATTTAATTTTCCTTAATAACTTGCTGATTTTCATTCCTAATTATAAATAAGTATTATATATATATATATATATATATATATATATATATATACAGATAGTACATGATTTATTGCTTGTCAAGTTTACAGTGGTATAAAAGTGATATATATCCAGCAGAAATTGTACCTTGAATTTTAAATTTTAGTCTTTTCCCAGCGATATGCAGTTTGATATTCTCTGGAGACGCTGGGCAGTGGCAATCAGCTCTAGCTCCTAGTTAGCCGTGAAGTAACAAGGGTAAACAACTGATACTCCACAGTACACAGATGCTCCTTGACTTACAATGAGGTTACATCTAAATAAACCCATCATTACTTGGTAGTATCTTAAGTCCAAAATACATGTAACCTTGTGATAGAACAAGGTGCTTAGTATACATGAGGCCCTGGATTCAAGCCTCAGGACCGAAATGTGTTTAATACATGTAACCTACCAAGCATCATAGCTTAGCAACAGTACACTGTAGAATATTACTTGTATCCCCTTGTGGTCATTTGGATAACTGGGAGCTGTGGCTCACTGCCACTACCCAGCATCCCAAGAAAGTATTGTACCAGCATATAATTAGCCCAAGAAAAGAGCAAAATTCAAAATTTGAAGTACATTTCAACCAAATGGATATAATTTTTGCATGATGATAATATTGTGCATCAAGCCATTGTAAGCCAGGGACTGTATGTACTGTGCTTCAAAGCTATGATGTTTGATAGGTTAGATGTATTAAATACATTTTCAACTTAAAATGTTTTCAATTTAGGATAGGCTTCCTAGGATGTAACCCCATCAGAAATCAGCCTTTGCATTTTTATCTTGTACCTATTTACACTCCTAACAATATGAAAGTGTCTATTTAACCACAGAATCTGGTTCTTAGCATTTTTTCTTTATGCTCAATTTCAATTTAAGTTGAAGCATTTATAAAATTTTATTATTATTCAAGGGAACTTTTTTCTTTTAACTTTCAGAAATTAGGTAAATCAAGATGTCTCCCTGATAATGATGGGAAACAGAGGCAAGTGGTGAGAACAGAAGGTTAAGGGAATAATTCTGTAAAATGGGACTACAATGCTGACCCCCACATGCTTTCTTTTCCAAGAAGAAATTTAAATGCAAACCTGCTTAAGTGGACAGGATATGTCACATTCCTCAGCATATTACTTCTTATCTTTAAGAGAGCTGCAGGCCTGAAATAATGTCAATAGAGGAACCCAAATTATCCTGAAGAGGGAGACTTTTGTGACCTTTTCACAGACCAGATACTGGAACTCAGGGAGATAAGGATTATTCTTTCTAACCATAAAATCTGTAAGAATTTGTGGTTAAGAATCCAATTAGAACCCGCCAGCATGGCCTAAAATGACTTAGAGTTGTCATGGCTGTAGGTCAAAAACAAAAAATAACAACAACAACAAAAAAATAGTCAAGAGGTGGACCTCTCTAGAAACTTCTCTGTGATTCCCAATAAAATAAGTACATAAGAGGCACATTGTCCCTCTCCAAGAGGACCCATTCTCTCCCTTGAGTGTCCCCCTTTCCTGTTTCCCATCCCTGTAATAAACTCATTCACTGCCTGTTATTGGGAGTGACATCTGAAATCTTTATGACTTGATTGTAAGAATCTAGGTTTGAAGAGTGGGACAGGTCTTCAGGCTGCCTCAGTTTCCCAGAAGGCCCCAAGCTATTACAGTAAGAATCCCTAGAGCCAGGGGCAGTGGCACATACCTGTAATCACAGTGACTCAGGAGATTGAGGAAGGAGAATCACAAGTTTGAGACCAAACTCAGCAACTTAGTGAGGCTCTAAGTACTTAGTGAGATCCTATCTGAAAATAAAAGATAAAAGGGGCTGGGGATGTGGATAGCAGTTAAACACTCCTGGCTTTAAAAAAAAAAAAAAAAAACCACATTAAATTAATTCATTTTTTAAAAAAATCTCTAGAACATAGCCAGGCTCAGTGGTGCACACCTGTAATCCTAGCAGCTTGAGAGGCTGAGGAAGGAGGATCACAAGTTCAAGACCAACCTTGGCAACTTAGTGAGATCCTGTGTCAAAATTTTTAAAATTTAAAAAGAGCTATAGATATAGCTACATGGTAAAGAACCCCTAGGTTCAATCTCTAGTATCACCAGGAAAAAAAAAAAAAAAAAAAAACCTAGAACAGAATAGTCTTACTTCTGTTTCTTGAAATTGTATGTTTCTTCTTAAAAGTGGAATCTTTAAATAAAAAAAAAAAAGTTTTCAATTTTCAAAGTCCTTAGCCTTCCTCTCCTTAATACTTACATAGTTCAGAAAGTGAATACCTGCCCTTTTGCTGTCAGCTATCAAGGCCTAAATACCTCATTAGATGATGTAAATGTGTGTGAATATGTTTTGTGTGTGTGTGTTAGTTGATTTAAGAGAATCTGATAATGTGCCTTCAGTACATTCCAGGATGGGAAGGTTTTATCGTTTCATTTTTCCTGCATATTGCAAAAATTTGGTAAATATAGCAATATTTAAAAGAGGAGATTGCCATTAATCAGGAAAGATTTTTTTTTTTTTAGCCTTCATTTCTTCACAGTCTAGAAATGCCTTTGTACTTTGGAGAAGGAATTATGCCTGAAAATAAGTTATTTAAGTTAAAAACTTACCTTCAGTTTTCTTAAAATACCACCTTTTTATAGTATTTTAACAAATATGTATGTAAGGGCTAAAGAGATGAATTATATGCTTGATTAAAAATCAATCTAGTTGCCTCTTTGCCATCTTTGCAATGAAGTATTATCCAGTATTAACTGTCCTCTGTTATTCAGCCCTTCTATCACAAAGTGAGGGGAATTGATGAGGATATGTGCATTGCATTATGTCTGATCACAGTTTGACTAGCACAGTCTGGAAGTGGGTTGTACAGGACGAGAGAAAGCAGCTAATTGCTCTCCCTGCATCAGCAGCATCTATAAAGCATCCTGGGAATTGCTCCCCCTACGTTCAGAGCAGCTGGTCACATGAGCCTGAATTTTCAGTTCAGTTCATTAGTCAGCCATTTTGGTCAACACCCTGCTTACTGCGCACAACCAATCCTGTTAGAACTCAGCATCCTGGCTCATCTGAGCAGATCCTGGAAGTGATTTCTGCAGTTTGGGATTTTTTTAAAAGCTAAATTGGAAATATAGTCTTATTTTTCATTCTTTTTTTTTTTTGTTTATATATTTTTTGTTTTCCCTGCACAAAGAAAGGATTTCTTCACTTATTCGTGCTAAGACCAGTTTTTTAAAGCCAGCTAAGGCATTGGCAGATTTGAAGCCTATAGCTCAGCTAGAGAAGAGGGTAGAGAAGAAAAGATAAAAGGAGAGGACGCTGGAGAAGACAAGCATCATTTTATTTTGCTATGTGGTAGGAATTGTCAATAAGAAAAGATAGGGTAGAATTATTTTTCTTGAGCAGTTGGTTTCCTTGTTTTTTTGTTTTTTTAATTTTAGGATTTTTTTGTTTATTTGTTTTTAACCTCCCCCACCCCTTTTCCTGAACGCTTTGTTTCAGAGGTTCAGATTCGGGGATTTTTGGTGAGGAGGTCTTATTATATTTCCTGTGTGTGTGTGTGTGTGTGTGTGTGTGTGTGTGTGTGTGTGTGTGTGTTGTGGTCCCAGCTGAGTCATCATGTCTGCTCTGACTCCTCCGACCGATATGCCAACCCCCACCACTGACAAGATCACACAGGCTGCCATGGAGACCATCTACCTTTGCAAATTCCGAGTGTCTATGGATGGAGAATGGCTCTGCCTTCGAGAGCTGGATGACATCTCACTTACACCTGACCCAGAACCTACCCACGAAGGTATGGTCAGATCTCCATCCACTAGTGTCTCTACAGTATCCTCATTGTTATAGGGGTTGGGAGGGTCAAGGAGAGGTGGGAAGAACGTGCATGCTAAATTTTTAACAATCCTGAAAACCTTTCATCCTTATTTACTTTCTCTCACAGTGAAAAAATATTTTTCCCACCCGCTGAGGTCTCATTTTCAATGATGCTGGTGCATTCAGAGTTCTTTGTCTTTAAGCCTCTAAGGAGAAATTTGAGGTCACTTTTCATGTGTGATCCTAATCAATAATGAAAAAGCTATTAATTTTGTTCACATATGAAAATAGTATAGAAATTGCAGTGATTCTTAAAAGTAAATTGAAATAATATGACTACAATTATAGGATTGTACATGATCACTATAGTAGAAACACTAGAGGGGTATCCTGTCATCAGGATATAATGTTAAAGAGCCTATGACATCTAGAAAACATTTGATAAAATGTTTTTTTCTTTAATAATAAGTATTAATTCAAAAGAGAAAGCAGTTTTATATTTACTTTTTTAAATGACTATGGACCTTTAAAAGTAGGTTAAACATGATTAATATGATAATCCCTACCCATGGACTTTATGGGTCATTGCTTTTTATAAGTTATTTGTGTTAACTATTATGATTCATTTGAAATTTCCACTGTCAGCTTCTTTGAAATCTTTTGTTATCTCTTGACTTACTTTCTCCTAGAACCTCCCTTAAATTGTTAGATGTTTTTAGCTTCTACCCCTTAATTCTCTTAATACCAAGGTGGAAATGATTTTGTTTTTAATACACTGGCTTCTCAGATTGTGTTTACTCTACTTTAAAATGATTTAAAGATTTAAAAATGCTTGCATATGAAGAAAAGTTCTTTATAAACATCTGCCAGGTATTTAGGCTTATCTACAGGACAAAAAGGGCCCTGAAGTGAATTGCCCTTAGCAGAGTTAGGAAAAAGTGATTCCTTACCCTTGACCTTGTTGCAATCTTATCATGACTCAGATTTCACCCATTGTATTTGGTAAGGATTTTATCTTCCCAGTTAGACTTAGCCTTAAGAAGTTTTGGAGAGGTTAACATCACAGAACACAAAGCAGTAATTTTGTATTTATCTTAAGAATAAAGTTTAAGTAGTCTTGGACCTTTTGCATCTCTTAACAATTGGTTTGTCAGTTAAACCGCTTCCTTCAGCTGTGCTTCAGAATGTGCCCAAAAGTTAGAAGACATCAGCTGAAATTCCATACAGTGCCACTACTGTTTAAAACAGCCTCAAAGCTTTAAAAATCTTTGGGTAAGAAAATGATTTTAAAAGGCTATCAAGAAGTCTTTTAGCAAATACCTAAGTTTACATATTTTGTTTGAAAAAATAAATTTATTTTTATTAGTGCATATTAATGGTACAGAATAATGAATTTTATTGCATCATATTTGTATATGCATATAACATATTTGGATTATTTCTACTCCTCCAATCCCCAACCATTTTGAAAGTAATGCAATATGAAATATTAATTATAAAATCCAGTTTGTCAAAATAATTTTAATAATTTAAGTACTTTAAATATACAGTTGTTTTTTGAGTAAGAGGCCAATGGGTGAGCAAAAATGAGCTGTTTGGCTCATAAGCATTTGTGTGGTACTGTTTGAATTCTTCCAAGAGAAATCTGTTGCCACAGATATGAAAACAGCACTATGGGAAATGTATGAGAGCTACAAACTAAGCTATAAGGGGCACATTCTTTGATGAAGGAAGTCAGACAAATAAGTTTCCAAAACTTTCAATCAACTATGGAGGATTGGAAGAAAATAAGAGAAATACTGATGTTGAATTTGAGGGGTTTGCCTTGGTTAGTCAAAAGAAGCAATTATTTTAAGTGATTTTACAAATGAAAATGATCAAAGAAAGCACAGGCCATGAAAGTATATATCAGTATAATGATCTAGGAATCTAGGTAATACTTTATGAGTGGTTTTATTTCCTTCTTTTACTGGTAACTCTAAGAGTCTAAATAGTCATATGGACCCAAGAAATGTCTGTTTTAATACCAGTGTTAATACCACTGTTAATACTAGTGAAAAGTATTAGATTTAGTTTAGCTGTAAGCATTTGAGTAGTGGATAGTGATTATGTGAATCTCACCTTATTGACAAAATGGAGCCCCTGATGCCTGACACTCAGGAATGTCCAGACTTCCTCCTGGCTGTTTCACAGAGAAAAATTGACAGTACAAATCCCTAGAAAAGAAAATGGACAAGGAGTTCCCTCTTAAGATGATGATATAGACTGTGTGTCCTCAGCATAGAAGCTTTGTTTTCTAAACAGTTTCTACACTTCACTGTGCAGTCCACAGTGTGCATAGGCCTGGACCAATTATTTCTGCCTAATCTTGTTAAATGGGAATAAAAACATTCACCTACTCATCTCAACATTTATTTGTAGGCAGTGTGATAATCACTCTCTTTTGTTTTTACATATTCTCTTTTTTAAAACCAGGGGCAAATTTACAACAACTTTGATTGCAAGTATATTTCCCCTAAAGACAAGAGCCCAGGATTGAGTCCACAGGAAAGGAGAGGGTAGGAGTCAGGAGAGACTTCATGGAATAAGTGAGTCTTGATACAGACCTTGAGAGAGAACTTGATGATCACTGGATACACATGGGACAGGGCATTTCAAGTAGAATCTGGTAAGTTAGCCAAGCCTGGGAATAGTAAGTGGTTAGGAACATAGCATGCTTGTGTTTGGCACAGCAGGGTATAAGGCTAGAAAGGACAGACTGAGAAGCCTGGGCTTGATGCTAGTGAAAAGCTACTAGTTCTTTATGTCTGAACCTGAAATAAGGTTTTAAATATGGAATGATCACCCATTATCAGTATTAGTAGATGGATCAGAAAGACAAGCTCTCTTGGACCCCTTACCATGATGATTAAAATGGTCCAGGTCACTGATGATAATCCCAAACTAAAACCATGAGAGTGATCACAAAAGAGAAGGAACAGTCACTGAAAAAGTAGAATGTGTTTGATGACTAAGTGGCTGAAGGGCTTGAGGATGAAGTGAGGCAGTGCCTGCCTGGGTGACTGCCAAGTGTTTGGCTGCAAGTCCTGGGTTCCCTTCACCAATAGGGAATGCAGAAGGAACAGAAGGTATTATGAGTCTCTGATGCTAATATGTTATGACTTAAAAAAAAAAACAAAAACCAAAACACCATCTCTATTAGTTTAGCCTTCTATTCACTCCCACAGAAGTATTAAGCAGGTTTACACTTTACCAGGTTAACCTACCCTGGCTTAATACAACTTCTTTTTTTGTGTGTATTTATTTTTTAGTTGTAGTTGGACACAATATATATTTACTTTTATATGGTGCTGAGGAGCAAACCCAGGGCCTTGCCCATGCTAGGTGAGTGCTCTACCGCTAAGCCACAACCCCAGCCCCTTAATACAACTTCTTCAGAGTTGGGTTTTTACTCAGGGTGTGGGACAGAAAAGGGGAAAGAGTGAAACTTAAATGTACACGTTGAGCAATTTGAGATGTAGCTCACTTTCCTTTTGTCATGTCAACACTAGAGGGGCAGCCTAATTTATATAAAATTTATTTTGCTTTTTTTTTTTTTTTTTTAGAAAAATATGTGCTATCATTGCAATTACCTGCCAGAGACATTCTTTGAGTGTTTTTGGTTTAAACAACAAATTAGTTTCTCATGATTCTGTGGGCTGGAAGTCTAAGATCAAGAATTAGCAGAAGATAGCAGGATTGGTTTTTCCCAAGGCCTTTCTCCTTGGTTTACAGATGTCTACCCTCCCACTATGTACATAATGGAATTTCTAAGAAAGGGAACTTTTAAAGCACTTTGGAGTTTTTAGAGAATAAATGCCCTTTGTTTTTCTTAAGAATAGAAGCAAAACACTTCAATTAGACTTTAAAAGCATCATTATAATTATTTCAGAAATTGCACCATTGCTGAGATTAAGTGATAGGCTTTATATTATAATGGTTTGTGCTCATTTACATGTGGATTTTTGGAGTAGCATTCTTACAATAAGTATATATAATTCCAGGATCAGGAAAATAATAAAAAGACTTTTTTCAGAAATTCCTCATAAATTATGTGTGTACACATGTGCACACACATGAAGAACAGGCTCCAGTATTACCTCCTTTTATAAAATATTTAACAGCAAACAGCTGTAGTTGTGACTTGGTTTAAAAAACGTTACCCTATAATAAAGTTACATAATTAGCAACTTATATATTGAAAAAAAATCTTTTAATGTCTTAAAGAGTATCTTTAAAGAATGAAATGGTGGGGGGCTGAGGTTGTGGCTCAGTGGTAGAGCACTTGTCTAGCACATGTGAGGCCCTGGGTTTGATCTTCAGCACCACATAAAAATAAATAAATAAGGGACTTGGGCTGTAGCTCAATGGTAGAGCGCTTGCCTAACATGTGTGAGGCACTGGGTTCTATCCTCAGCACCACATAAAAAATTAAATAAAATAAAGTAATTTGTCCAAAAAATAAATAAATACAATAAAGGTATTGTGTCCAACTAAAAAAATAAATTTAAAAAAAGAAAAGAATGAAATCCTGAGCCTTTTTTGTTTTGTCTTTTATGTACCTTAAATTGAAATTATCTTAAAAGATGCCAATAGTGTTGTATTTCAACTAAGAAAATCATATTGCCTTTACTCTGTTAAGTGTTCTCATCCCCCACACACACACCTCCCTATCTCTCTCTTTCTCTCTCTCTTTCTCCCTCCCTCGCCCCCTGTCTCACAGGTACTGGGGATTGAACCAGAGGAGCTTTACTACTGAGCTCCATCCCCAGCCCTTTTGAAAGAAGATCTTGCTAAGTTGCTGAGGGTCTCATTAAATTGCTCAGGTTGGCTGACCTTGAATTTGCTATCCTCCTGCTTCAGCCTCCTTCCAGGCTTGTAAAGTATTCTATAGACATTTTAATAGGATTTAGGGTATAAATTCTTATAGTTCTTAAACTA